TCTGTCTGGTGGGTAAACAGGATAAAATATTTGAAATTGCTCCAAATTCTCCTTTAGAAATAAATTGTATGGTATTAGTTCCATATGGGCTTTTGATCCATTGGTGGTCAGGAAGATCCCCTGCTTTGCCCATATAATTTAATTTATTGAGACCAATTCTTTATTCTTTTGAATTTTCCTTTTATGTTTCCTTGTTTTAGTATGTAGTAATTGTATAGATTAATGAATTTTTTAAACACAGGACTGTTTTCTTTCTTTTTTATTTAAACTTTTTTTTTCATTTTACATATCATCCCAAGTTCCCCCTCCCTTCTCCCACCACCCCCCACCTTCCCCCCATCCCACTACCCATCCACTCCTCAGAGGAGATAAGGCCTCCCTTGAGTAGTCAACAAAGTCTGGCATACCAAGTTGAGACAGGGCCTAGCCCATCCCCACTTCATCAAGGCTGAGCAAGGTGTCCCACTATAGGGAATGGGTTCCAGAAAGCCAGTTCATGCACTAGGGATAAATTCTGGTCCCTTTGCCAGGGGCCCACAAACAGATTCAGCCTCACAACTGTCCCCCACATTCAGAGGTACTAGTTCAGTCCCATGCAGGTTTCCCAGCTGTCAGTCCAGAGTCTGTGAGCTTCAGACAGCTCGGTCAGCAATCTCTGTGGTTTTCCTCATTGATCTTGACCCCCCTTGCTCATATGATCCCTCCTCCTCTCTTCAGTTGTTCTCCAGGAGCTGGGCCCAGTGCTTGGCTACGGATCTCTGCATCTGCTTCCATCAGTCACTGGATGCAGGTTCTATGATGACAATTAGGGTAGACACCAATCTGAGTACAGGGGGAGGTAAGTTCAGGCACCCTCTGCATTGCTAGGAATCTTAGCTGGGGTCATTCTTGTGGAAATTAATGGGTTTCTTTAAAACCTTTACATACAGGCACACAACACACACACACACACACACACACACACACACACACACACACACACACACACACACAGGGTTTTAATCATGGTCACACCCTCAGTTAGCCCTCCTTAGACCCCTCTTTCCAGCACTCTCCTCTTTCACATACCTGCCAGTGCCTTCTCCCCACTCATACTCTCCTGACTCCTATACTGCGATACTGTGTATGAAAACTGATACAACATGACCATCCCCTGCTCCATATATTTTTTCTTAAATGACACAGTATCATTCTTCTTTATGGTTGACTGAAACTCAATTGTGAATACTCCACATTTCATTTATCTGTTTATATATTGATTGGCACCTATACTGGTTCTATAACCTAGCTGTTATGATTAATACAGCAATAAAATATGGTTGTACAGGTATCTCTGTAGTAAGCTGATTTTGTTTTTTGGGGGAAATATACCAGGAGTTTTATAGCTGTATCATATAAAAATTCTATTTTAATTATTTGAGGAATACCCATATTGAGTTCCATTCTGATTGGACTAACTTACATTCCTACCATTAATGGGTTGTCTTTACCCAACCTGGCATCTTTAGCATCACTTCTTATTTTCTGTTTTCTTCATGATGGCCATTCTGACTGGCATGAGATGGAATCTCTATATAGTTTTAATTTTCATTATCTTACAGCTCAAGATTCTAGATATTTTTTCATGTATCTCTTGGTCTGCTGCCCTTCCTTTGAAGTGTTTTTTCAGATAAGTTGTCCATTAATTGAGTTTATTATTATTCTTTTGGTGCTTTTTTTTTTTTTACTTCTTATACACTCTGGGTATTAAAATAACTGTTGGATGAGTATCTAGCAAAGATTTCTCTCCCATTCTGTAGGCTTTCATTCAACTCCATTGTTGCTTTTACTGCAAGATACTTTTAAGTTTAATATAAACCCCCTTGCTATTTTGTTGATGTTAGTTTCTCAGCTATGAATGTGCAGTGTTCAGAAAAATCTCAGCCTCTGCTGGTATCTTGAGGTGGTTCATAGCTTCTAATCTTACATCCTTTGAACTGTTTTGTACAGGGGAGACAGGAGTCTGGTCACCTTCTTGTGCAAGTGGATGTGCCCTTTTCCAAGTACCACTTGCCCAGGAGGCTTTTATCCAATGTATATTTTGGCACCTTTTCAAGAATCAGATGGCTGTTGCTGTGTGGGCTGAGGCCAAATTGGATTCACCAGTGTTCACATAGCTACTTTACTTGTATTCTAATGAGCCAGAAACATGGGCCCATGCCAAGTAAGATATTGTTCTCATCCCAGAAAAGTTTACGAACTGAAATCAGAGACTGGAAAGAGATGTGCAGTTCTCTGAAACAAGGCTTCTTAAACTTTTGGACTTGCAACCCCCCTTTTGCCTCAGAAATTGTGCCCCCAAGTATAGAGATCTACAAAACAGGCATACAGATCAAATGTTTACTGATAAACCAAGAGGAAGTCTATTTTAAAACACTTCTTTGGTATACATGTAACTTTACCATGAAAGATTAAGGTAAATTTGCATAATAATGACATAGATGTGCTTGCTTACTTTATAAAAAGAATTAAACCTTGGCTGAATATATGAAACTATAAGACACAGAATATCTTCATCTTTTTTCAGAGTTTATTGATTTTCTTTTTTCTTTTTTGTTTTTTTTCGAGACAGGGTTTCTCTGTATAGTTTTGGTTCCTGTTCTGGAACTCACTCTGTAGCCCAGGCAAGCCTCGAACTCATAGAGATCCAACTGTCTCTGCCTTCCAAGTGCTGGGATTAAAGGCATGTGCCACCACTGCCCGGCTAATAATTTATTTATCTTTATTTTATTTGCATTGGTGCTTTTGCCTGCATTTATGTCTATGTGAGGGTGTCAAATCTTGATGTTACAGACAGTTGTTAGCTGCCATGTGGGTGCTGGGAATTGAACCCACGTCCTCTGGAAGAGCAGTCAGTGCTCTTAACCACTGAGCCATGTCTCCAGCAGTTTATTGATATTTTTATACTCATCAATGCTGAGAACGTTGCATCACATAAATTGTGTAATGCAAAATTGCAGTAGTATTTTTAGAGCCATTCCAGAAATTGTTGGAAATCGTTCCTACTCCCAAGCCAACATTTATTTAATATATATAAAAAATGATGCTCAAGCCAGTAACTCAAACAATACTTTTAAAAATCAAGTTCTAATATAGTGCAATCTAAGATAAAGTAACTCACGACTTTGATGCTGAGGATTGAAGTCTCTGCTTTTTTAATTAAGAGAAGAAAAGTTTCTATTGTAAAAGAACTATGGTTGACAGCATACGACATATGTCATCTGGAATCGGAGCGTGCATGTGTATGCAGAAATAAAGCTGCGGTGGAGGTGCACAGTACAACGTGGACATCGATTTATTGATTTTGAATTAATTTTAGGTTGTCATACATTCTGAAACTTTTTACTGTTGCCATTTTTTTTCTGCCACCCAGATTCAAGTATACACTCACATGGGTCCGCCATATGGAATTTAAGACGCTGGGAAACAGACATGCAAGCATTCATTGTGGACATATAGTGAGGAAAGGGGGTAGAATAGGAATTGTGGGATATTGCTTTGAATGCATTAAAAAGCCTTCACAAGGAAGCTGGAGAGATGACTCTGGTTAAGAGCACTGGCTCTTCTTCCAGGAGACCTGGTTTGATTTCCAGCACCCACATGGTGGCTGCCAACCATCTGTAACTCCACTTCCTGAGAATCTGACACCCTCTTTGGGCACCCATAGGCAATGGATGCACATGATGCACAGGCATTCATTAATGGAAAACACCTATACAAATAAAATAAAAATAAATATTCAAAAAAGAAAGCTAACAAAAAATGTGAGGACTTGCCAAACCTCTGATTGGTTCTATGCGACCCTGTCTCTCCCAAGGGCCTATAAAAGTCCCAACTAAAGTAAAAGGTATATGACCTTTTCCTGGTCAACATTTTTTGTTCTTTTAATCTAATCAGTTCTCTGTAAGCTGCTTCTTAGTGAAATTTGCTTCCACTAAAAATTTTCCTGACCCCCCCCCCCAAATTTCCTGTGTATATATTGAGTCAAGAATGAAAGATATGATTTATTGTATTCCCTTTTTAAAGAGGTTTTAAACTTTTTGATAGATACCAAACAGACAATTGCATAAAAAATAAAATGTGCATGGGTATTATTATATCTGTGCAATAACATTTCCCTCTTTTTGACTTAAATTTACATTTTTGCCCCCATAAGACATTCAGCCTATGATTCCATAAATAAACTGGAGCAACTAAATAAAACAATTACTTCTGAAGTCTCAAAATTCTTGTGTAATACATCATAGATGACTATTGAACTAATATTTTTAGACTAGAATTTGAGTAAATATTAGGAAAGTTGGAAATATGATACCATTTGGTTTCTTGAATGACAAGATTGAATTAATTATTCTCTTTAAAAAAATAACAGGTGGTTTTGAGAAAAAAAAATCGTCAGGTGAGTCTCAAATCTCCCCATCATTTATTCAAAGACAAGATTGCAGCTGAAATCCCATGGAAGAACTGAGGGCCTCTTCTGGCTGTTTCTTCTCTCATTAATATTCACCTTAGCACTGTTAACAGTTTCATTTACTTCACAGTTTTAAAACTTAGTTCTTAATCATAATTTTCTGGATTTTTCTTTTAATGTACTTACATTCCTTATCTTTTTATATGTGCCATTCACAAATAGAATTTTGCTTTAAGTCTTCTTTTTAAAAAGGAAGTCAGTGTTCTTGGGAGAAATGAGTGATGAAAATGAACCCATTAACCTTCTGGTGGGCACAGTGCATGCAATAAAACCACGAAGCTTTGCTGTGAAGGAGCCAGTTCATTCACGTCTTTTTCTGTGAGCGCCATCCCTTCTTCATCTCTCTCTGATGAGATGACAAGATGTGATTTTAAAACAGAAAAGTGAGCCCATAAAAATGATTTGTTTTCCTCTTTGTATCATTAAGCAATATGATCAGTGTGTACTCTTCTTAGATAAATATTATTTCAACCTCTATCCACATTTCCAGCAGAGAAGATGCTTTATGATTGGCGAAGCTTTGCATGGAGGAGGTCTTCTCGTCCACCTCATGAATCTACTCAGAGCTTAGCTGGATCATCAGGAATATTTAAGGATTATTATATGGTAAGTATTTTTAAATATGGACATAGAGTTTACTTGTCTTTTCCCAGCAAAATATTGGGTCAATTTTGATTTAAAAAAAACATGAAATTTTAATGTGGACCTATTTTATTCCTAAACTCCCCATTGAAATTCATCGTTTTAGCCAAGTGTGAAGGTTCATGCCTGCAATCCTAGCACCTGTGAGTCTAAAACAGGAGAATGCCTGTGCATTTGAAGCCAGGCTAGGCATCAGTTTTGAGATACTGTCTCAAAATAAAAAACAACCTTACACACACACATACACAAGTTTTCTCCCCCAGAAGCAAAACTTGAGCACGTTTATCATGTTTTGTGTAAAATTTACTAATTACCTTGACCCACAGTACTGCATTGTATTTTATTGGAAAGACTCTTAGTCATATGGTTTTCCTAATTTTGTGATTGCACAGAAACTACTGTTTTTGTTTTTGTTTTTAAATTGTATCAAGAAGTCAAATAGAGACTGAGGATGATGACATCTGTTCGAAGTATGATAATTGAAAGACTGAGAAAATCCAAATGCAGTTTCCTGATGACCTACTTATGGCTTTTAGAATAAAGGCTCTAATTCAGAGCATGTGAACCTCTGATCTGACAGTCCGGGTCTTCTATCAGAGCAAGTCCTCAGATGCAGCTGTGTGATTACCACAGGAAATTAATGTTTAAACATCTTTAGTACCAATTATTTTTTTCTTTTTTATTTAAAAGTTTTTTTTTTTCATTTTATACCTCCCACCCTTCCTCCCATTCACCCCCAACCTTCCACCTACCCTCTCCCCCATCCTCTCCCCAGAGAGGATAAGGCCTTGCATAGGGAGTCAATAAAGTCTGGCATATCAAGTTGAGGCAGGACCAAGCCCCTCCCCGCTGAATCAAGGCTGAGCAAGTTGTTTATTGTTTGGAGCTGGGCTCCAAAAAGCTAATTCATGCACTAGGGATAAATTCTGGTCCCAATGCCAGGAGCCCCACAAACTGCCCAAGCCACACAACTGTCACCTACATTCAGAGGCCTAGTTCAGTCCCATGTAGTTTCCCCAGCTGTCAGTCTGGAGTCAGTGAGCTCCCACTAGCTTGGGTCAGCTGTCTCTGTGGGTTTCCCCATCATGTCCTTGACCCCTTTGCTCATATAATCCCTCCTCCTTTTCTTCGACTGGACTCCAGGAGCTCTACTCAGTCCTTAGTTGTAGATCTCTGCATCTGATTTCATCAGTTACTGGGTGAAGGTTCTATGATGACAATTAGGGTAGTCATCGATCTGGTTATAGGGGAAGGCCAATCAGGCACCCTCTCCACTATTGCCTGGAGTCTTAGCTGGTGTCATCCTTGTGGGTTCCTGGGAATTTCTCTAGCACCAGTTTCTCCCTAACTCCATAATAGCTCCCTCTGTCAAGATATCTCTTTCCTTGCTCTCCTTCTCTGTCCCACCCCAACTCGATCATCCCATTTCCTCATGTTCTCATGTTCTTTTGCTACCTCCCCTTACCTGCACCACCCTCAGCGCTCCCAATTTACTCAGGAGATCTTATCTATTTCCCCTTTCTAAGGGGACCCATGCATGTCTCTCTTAGGGTCCTCCTTGTTACCTATCTTCTCTGGGGTTGTGGATTGTTGCCAGTTATCCTTTGCTTTATGTCTAATATTGACTTATGAGTGAGCAAATACTGTGTTTGTCTTTCTGGGTCTGGGTTACTTCACTCAGAATGTTTTTTTTCTAGTTCCATCAATTTGCTTGTAAATTTCATGATGTCATTTTTTTTTTTTTTATAGCTGAGTAATACTCCATTGTGTGAATGTGCCACATTTTCTTTATCCATTCTTCAGTTAAGGGGTATCTAGGTTGTTTCCAGGTTCTGGCTATTATAAATAATGCTGCTATGAACACAGTTGAGCCAGTATTCTTGTGATATGAATGTGCATCCTATGGGTATATGCCCAAGAGTGGTATTGCTGGATCATGAAATAGGTTGATTCCCAATTTTCTGAGAAACCACCATACTGATTTCCAAAGTGGCTGTACAAGTTTACACTCCCACCAGCAATGAAGGAGTGTTCCCTTTACTCAATATCCTCTCCAGCATAGACTGTCATCAGTGTTTTGATCTTAGCCATTCTGATAGCGTAAGATGGTATCTCAGAGTTGTTTTGATTTGCATTTCTTGATGGCTAAGGATGTTGAACATTTCTTTAAGTGTCTTTTGGCCATTTGAGATTCTTCTGTGGAAAATTCTCTCTTTAGATCTGTACCCCATTTTTTAATTGGATTATTTGGTTTCTTGAGTTCTTTGTGTATTTTGGAGATCAGCCTTCTGTCAGAAGTAGGATTGGTGAAGATCTTTTCCCATTCTCTAGGCTGCCATTATGTCTTATTGATAGTGTCCTTTGGCTTACAAAAACTTCTTAGTTTTATGAGGTCCCATTTATTAATTGTTACTCTCAGTATCTGTGCTACTGGTATTACATTTAGGAAGTTGTCTTCTGTGCCAATGCATTCAAGGCTACTTCCCACTTTCTCTTCTCTTAGATTCAGGCTAACAAAGTAGTACCTTTCTGGTAGAGGTTCAGAAAACTAAACTGTTTTTAGAAATGTGGATACGAAAATGTTTGCATGAGTTTTCAAAGGGGAATGAGGACTCTACTAGGGAGTAGGGACATCCATGTTCTGACAATGCATCTGGCTACATTCTGCCCTTGTGTTGAAAAGTTGATTCTGAATTAAAAATTAACAAACTTATTTGTTTAGCAAAGGAAATTTCGAAGCATTACAGCATTCCAGTTGCATTGTGGTTATTTCTCACTGCTTTCGGCAGGTTTACTCTGGGGCAGAACAGAAAGTTGTGGAAAATGTTCACGTTGGTAAGGAAAAGTGTGAATTTAGTTGGAGTTGTAGACATGATTGCTGCAAACAAATTAGCACCATGAGAAATGCGCTCACCATATAAGCATGAGGCCCCACATTTGGATGCCCATCACCCACATAAAAGCCAGGCATGATGGTTGGCATCTGTAACCCCAGCTCTAGAGGGTGAGGGATGGGAACATGGAGCCTGATGGCTAGCTACTCTAGCAAGTCCGTGAGCTCTAAGTTCAGAGATTTTAGTACCAAAAATAGTGACTGAGGAAGACACCCAATGTCAACCTGTGTCCTCTACACATATGTGTACACATATATACCTGTAAGCACATGTGTGCACAGGAACACATACACATCCCCCCTCATACACAAAGAGATTAATGCCGTTAGAGAGAAACTACAGTTTAAAGCGCCATGGAAAATAAAGAAAGCTTTAAGACTTCACCAGGTTGTAAAGCAGAGAACCCCAGTAAAAAATAAAATAATAAAATAATTCATTTGCAAGGAAAGTACCTGAAGAAAAAGAAACTCTACTGTAAAAATGGCCACCTAGGATAGTATTTGACTAGCTTCTGCCATGGCCACACATAGAAGCTATACCTCAGAAGACAGAGATATAGGATCGGAGTCACGCCAGCCCATTAAAGAACAGCTGATGTGATCACTAGCCCCAGATGCTGGGCATGGAGTTTCTGGGTTTAGTGTTTAACCTTTTGGGTTTCCATTTGCTCTGGTCCAGTCATTCCTTCCTATAACCCATCTCCCTCTGTGAAATGGGAATGTTTACTCTAGCCACTATACCTTGGAAGTGTACAGCTTTGCTTCTGGCACTGCAGGGACCCTCATTTCTGACTACCCTCAATCTCAGAGCTTTTGAATAGCATTGCAGCTGTAATGCTACAGGCATCCTTGAAGTTGTATAAATGGACTTTTCAGTGTGGGATGGCCATGAGTCCATGAGGGTGAGGATGGGGGTGTTGTTTGAATAGTGAGATGCCTCACAGGGGCTCAGATGTTTGAACACTTACTCCCTGCTGGAGACACTGTTTCTGGAGATTATGGGACCATTAGGAGGGAAGCTTCGCTGGGAAGTGGATCTTGAGGTGACTCTATAGGGTGTGCCTCTGCCTGGATTTCAGAGCTAGTGTTCTCTGCTCCCTGACCACCAAGGCAATGCAGCCAGTGGCCTCACATGCCTGCTGATGCAGCTATGACCCATTCTCACTGCCATTCTTTCCTGTCATAGGGACTGTACTTTCCATGAGCAGATGCGAAATCTGTTTTTTATAAGTAACTTCTTTCCGGTTTTTTATTACAGTGATGTTAAAAGTATCCAATAACCATTATTTAAAAAAATTCATTAATTATAGTATATATTTATACTATTGTTGATAACTAATAGGATGTACATTTCAATGCTTATATAGCCTTATAAAATAATATCCGTAGAAAGCTCTTTTCATTGTATTCTGTGAAAGACTAAAGGGTGAACTGCCACTTCTAACTTCTCTGCCCACCCTATTTTAAACAACAGTTTAGAGACTACTCCTAGCTGTGTGAAGTATCTTAAAAATTTTTGGGTGAGAAACACCTCTGTCAAGATAATATCATACTTGGTTGAAGAGTGCTTAGCCTGCAAAACAGTGTTTGTTTGTTACTGAGGAGCATGAGAGTCTTGTGACCATGGCTGTGATATAGTAGCTGATGCTTCTGAATGACACACCTGTTTAAGGTGTTTGAAGTCCAATGAACTAGAGAAAATGTGAGCAATTGTATGCTTTTGTGTAAGTGGTTAGAGGTCACTGGGGCAGTGTCATATTGACATACTAACTACATGGTGTGTGTGTGTGTGTGTGTGTGTGTGTGTGTGTGTGTGTGTGTGCGTTATTGAGACTGGAGTTTGTATGTATGTGTGTGACTGAGATGGGGCTTTGAGAGTTAAGCTTTCAGATTTGTTTCTGGCTTTTTCAGTTTTCATCATAGAAGTCCAAACGCCTTTTGTTTTGAGTAAGGATTCTCCTATCCTACAAAGCACTAACATTCCATGTAGAGATAAAAGAACAAGTTCTAAGTTTATTGCATGTTTTAAGTAATTAAAATCATTACAAAATTGTTTTATCTAATTAAAAAA